GATCCTGTTTTAAAACAACAGAAATAAAACCAAAACACTCTCTGATCTTTCCATGTAGGTTAATATCTTCTGAGCAAGAAGTACCCAATAAATGTTTATTATTAAGAGCATCCAGACTCTAGAGCTACTGAATCCAGAGATTGCCTATCATTCAGTGGACAGGGATAGAATTACCATCTTTTAGGAAACATTGATACCTGATAATTTAAAAGACAGAAGATAGCCATGTATGTACATACCTGTAATAGAGACTGTGGAAACTGGGGCAAGAACAAGTTTGGACTAGGCTAATAGTGAGACCTTGTCTGAAAACAAAAACTGAAAGATAAAAGACAGCTCCAAGCTTTCAGACTTGGATGACTAGGAAAATGACAGACAGCATTAATAAAACGGGGATGGAAGGACTATGTCATCTGTTTAAATGATGAGATCTTAATGTTTGAGACACAGAGAGTAATACTAGCAACTCTTGGGGAAAAACATTGCAGTAAGGAAGTTACTCAATACTTTCCAGTAAGTCTATTTAATCCCAGAGAAAGTACAAGGCAGGCCGGGGAAATAGCTCAATTGGCAGGAGTCTGATTCCTCGGAACCCATGTAAAACGACAGGCATGATGGTTAGCTGGCTTTCTTGGACCACAAGCCCCCAAATCATGACACAGACTTATTATCAATCATGAAAGCTCAGCCTTAGCTTAGGTTTGTTCCTAACTAGCTCTTTTTAACTTACTTTTTCATTCATTTTACATACCAACCATAGATCCCCCTCTCATTCCTTCTCCCATTCCCCCCACCCCGATCCACCCCTCATCCCCTCCTCCAACAGGGTAAGTTCTCCCATGGGTATATTCAGTTGAGGCAGGACCAAGCCCCTCCCCACTTCATCAGGAGTGAGCAAGGTATCCGACCACAGGTAATGGGATCCAGAAAGCTGGCTCATGCACCAGGGATAGATCCTGATCACACTGCCAGGGGCCCCTCAAACAGACCCAGCTACACAACTGTCTCCTGTATGCAGGGGGTCTAGTCTGGTCCCATGCAGGTTCCACAGCTATCTGTCTAAAGTTCCTGAGTTCCTCTGAGCTTGGTTCAGCTGTCTCTGTAGATTTCCCATCATGATCTTGACACCAACCCCCCGCCCCCGGCAGTTTCCTGCCCAGGGACTAACTTTGCCACAAGAAAAGTAAATTCCATATGGAGGTTCTTCAATGCCCATCATCCTTTTTAAGTAGATTGGTGCTGCCAGGAACAGATGTGTCTTACTGTCATGAAAAGCCTTAGGTTATTAAAACATCTTAAATGCTATGTTCTGTGGGTCTCTGAAGTGTTTGAAGACCAATCTGTCTATCTAAAATATATCTATTTGACCTTGAAAAGAACATGGCCACAAATCTGATTGTTAGATGACTAACTACTAACCTGTACTTCTTAATTATCCTAGTTTGTAATTTCAAGGACTAGAAGTTTACATTAGTTATTAAATGGGCAGCATAGGTACAATACCTTAAGCAAAAGTAGAAACATACATTAAGCAAAAATAACCTTAAATTTGTATCAGTATACAAAAATCCATACCAATGTATTTAATAGTTGCTTTTTAGTTTAGATTCAATAATCTACCCTTTTATCCTATCATTTTTTTTCAGAATATGAAAATTTATTATTGCATTTCTGTTGTCAAAATTTAGGATCTTGGTCTTTCCTTCTTGCCTTTGTACAGGGCCAATGGCTACTTTAACAACCTTAAAGCGTACTCCAGGAATATCACCTACAGCATGACCTTTTCGACCAAATCCAGCAACCAGAACTTCATCGTTTTCCTCAATGAAGTTCAAGCAGCCATCGTTGGGAACGAAAGCTGTGATCTTCTTGCTGTTCTTGATGAGCTGCACCCTGACACACTTCCTGATGGCAGAATTTGGCTGTTTGGCTTCAACCCCTACTTTTTCCAGCACAATTCCCTTGGCATGAGAGGCACCTCCAAACAGATTGGCCTTCAGGGCTGTGCCCAAGTGGGCTCTCTTGTATTGTTTATCATGCCACTTCTGGTCCCGTAGGTGGCCTCGGAGCTTCCTGGCAGTACGGAGACCATGACACTTGCCCATCTTGCCGGCGTCACCGGCCCGAGAGAGAGAGAGAGAGAGAGAGAGAGAGAGAGAGAGAGAGAGAGAGAGAGAGAGAGACGGTGCAGGAAGGACCCACAAGGCCTATCCTATCGTTCTTATCTCTTTTTCTTTTCAGAAAGAGGTTCTTGATTCTAATCTCCCTTGCTTAGTTTCCTCCCTTACCATGAACAATAACAATTTGAAGCCAACCCCCCTAAATGATGACAAACATCCATAACCCTCCAAACAACCAAAAACCACCCACCTCACCACTTGGGAATGTGGGAGTCATATTCTTAAAATTATTCCTGCTGTCTGGGGGCCACGGCATCTTTAGGGGATCCTGAGATAATGGTCAAGTCCTGGGAGGGCTAGCTGTATTATTTTTTGTTTAGTCTTTGTGTGATGAAAAAGTATAGAGCTTATCTGAAGTCTTGACTGGACAGTCTGTGAGGCTAGACCATCTCAGCTAGCAGCTTCGAAGCTGTTCTGGATGCAGAATTTTGAGGAAATTGCAAGAGGCATTCTGAGAGGCTGGATCACCTGGGCTAATTTTCATTATTGGTGTTTGGCCCTTTTTTCTGAAAACACACAAACTTGTAAAGGTAATACACACACACACACACACACACATATATTATATATCTGCATTAACACAAGTATGGAATGTGTGGTGTACACAAGTCAGCTAAAGTTTTTTGTTCGATGTTTGAGCAGGTAAAGGCATCTGTCAACTTTATAAGTACGTTTGACTGCATAAGCCAGTAAACTGTCATGAGGACTCTGTAGCCAACAAGATTTACCATGTCTCATCCAGTCTCAGAGCTGCCCCCATGTCGAGGGACCAGCATATGTGTCACCTGTCCTGTAGTCTTTCTTGGTTTTTTTCCTTCATGTCTGTAGCTAAGATTCTCAGGAGGTCTCCCCCAGTTAATCTGATCTCTATTATTTTTAAATTTTATTTATTTATTTTATGTGTATGATTGCTCTATCTGCATGTACATCTTTATTTCAGAGGAGGGCATCAGATCCCACTATTAATGGTTGTGCGCCTCCATGTGGTTACTGGGAATTGAACCCAGGTCCTCTGGAAGAGCACTCAGTGCTCTTAACCACTGAACCATCTCACCAGCCCTGATCTTAATTAATTTTGAAGAGAACCATAACTTTTTGTTTCTTCTGGAAACAAAGGCATAACCTCATCCCCAGTGAAACATATTTTTTGACTTCCATTTTGAAGTTAAGACATTTTAAAAATACAAAAGTTGGTTTCATTTAAGAGTTTCCATAATCCAATGTCTCTCAGCAGCTATTGCTTTTTTTGTACATTAGCATTTTCAAAGTCAACAAAACACCATACAGGATCCAGACAGCCTGTATATTTTTCATCCTTTGTCTATGACTATACTCTTTTTTTTTTTTTTTTTACTGTACCTGTTTAGAGGTTTTTCCAGTCTGGACTGCATTACTGAAGGCCGGTAGCCTTCTCTGACCACGTGAGCCAAACCTATCTTATCACATACCCTTTTACATTTTCTCAATATGTATTAGCCTGTGGTACTACAATCTGCTTTTTAGTAATGAGTAGTGACTCAAAGAAACAATTTAAAAATCATTTAATATGCAAAGTGAAAAACTAGGGATATAAAAGCATTTCACATTTTTTTTAAAACAAAATAACACCTTCTAAATTATTTAACAGAAGGTAGAAATCCACAATCTTTTATCTGAAATCCCTAAATCCAGATGTTTCAGAATTATGAAATTTTCGGATTTTAGAAAGGTAATTCAGTGCATATACCAGACTACATTAACCCTCAGAAGAGTTTGTGGCAGCACCCCCCAATAATCAAACATTAATATTTATGCAGCAAAATAAACGAATATTCACACTAAATGGGATAAACAGATTCAGTGTCAAGTCAGCATAGATCCAGAAACAATGAATTTTGTTAGCAAGCTTAGGAAAACCTTGTTTTCAGAACTTCTTGGATTCTGAGACGATAATTACAGATAAAGGAATGCAGACCTTTTGAAACTTGTATGACAAGACACAAAAGATTGTTTAAACAAGTGACCCATTTTTACAAATGCAAAAACATACAACCTTCAAATACAGTATAAATTAACAGGCATCTCCTCTTTGATATTATTAAATGTACACCTTAAATACATATACATATAGCACACAACACAAATCATTATGGTCAGTTGACATCAAAGGTACACATGCACAATCCCTTATGTAAGAAAAGGACACTATTCCATGTGTGGTTAGAGAGAGGATTCGTCTAACTCCTTATGACGTCAGGTAGAGGACTTGCTGAGAGCAACACAAGGGCAGGCTAGTCTTCAGGAAGCACAGTTTTTCGTGTGAGCAGTCTCTTCCACAGAAGCGCGAGTAGACAACATTTACTTAAAATGAACACTGGATTCGGCAGGGGTGGTGCACGCCTTTAATCTCAGCACTCAGGAGGCAGAGGCAGGCAGCTCTCTGAGTTCAAGGCCAGCCCAGTCTACAAAGCAAGTTCCAGGACAGCCAGAGCTGTTACACAGAAAAAACCCTGTCTCAGAAAAAGGGTATTTTTCATCGGTTAAACAAATAGTATTTTGTCAATTTTAAAGGTAAGTAAGTCACTAATGATCTCCCTAGATAGCTGCAGTGTTAAAAATCATTAGCTTCACTAACTTGTAATACAATTCTATCTGTTCAGAGGTCACAATCATTATACAAAATTAAGGTTCTGTGCTTGTGAAGTCACGGTGGTTTCTGATCGCAGCCATTTCTTCCACTGACTGGATCTGAAGAATGGCTTCGGGGAACAAAGATGAATTTCGAATATTCGCAGGAACGACTTTCATGGCTTGAGGGCAGTGAGCAAATGGCAGGTCATTCTGTTAACCAGCTCCAGTCAAGACTCTAAAAGCAGGCATGGAAAGAGACAATCAGACACTGTTTGAATGGTTTGAATGTAAAGTTCACTTTTTAAAGTTGTTTTAGTATTTGGATACTTTAGAATCAAAATTTGAAAAGTTAAAAACTATAGAAGTTACAGTTTGATTAGCTCACCTTATCTTCTGGTAATATCAAAAATATTTCAAAGTTCTCATAAAAATTTGAGTACAATATTTATTTATAAGTGGAAAGAGTTGGCATCACATCCAAATGCAGCAGTGAATTTACTAAGATTTTAGAGTAGTTTCTCCCACTTTTAACAAAGCAATAGTTCACAGCAACTACATCTTGATACAACCACGTTTATTAAGTATTAGCATAACTGATCTTATATGCATCAAATACAATGATAGAGTAAAACGGTACATTCATTCCATTTCTGTAGAGTCATCCTGTGAAGAAAACTTCATCTGACCACACTGCTACTGTTGATGTTCACTGATGATACAATGCTACTACGTATCAGATGGTTACTTTTGTGGATTTGGCACAACCAGAATCACCTGGGAAGAGACTCCCAATAACAGTCAGGATCAGGCTGGCATGTGGGCATGTCTACGGGTGACTGTCTTGATTCCATTAACTGATGTGCAAACACCTAGCCTAAAAGTAGGCAGCACCATGTCAAGGGCTGGGCCCTGTCCTGTATAAAAATGAAAAAAGTGAGCTGAATACTCTCAGGAATGTAGACGTTTATTTCTCTCTGCTCTTGACTGTAGACATTATGTCTAGCTATTTCTAGTTCCTGCCGTGACTTCTCTACAACAGTGGTATGTAACCTGTAATTTTAAGTTGAATAAACCCCTCTCCTCTAAGTGGCTTTTTGTAAGGCTAATTTATCACAGCAACAGGGATGAAACCAGGATAAACGTCTCTGCATAACAAAAGATGGAAATTTGAGGTCCAAAATATTTCTCAAATGTTCTTTCCTCTGAGTTCTATTCCCTATATATATCCCAAATGCGAGACACAGCCAACATGAAAAATTAAACCTTTTGTATCCAACATAGCTAAGACACATATTCATACAAAACTTACCATCATACTCCTGCTCTGTTCCTCATTTGCTTCACGAATAATAGTACTTAAATGGCCAAGAGAGTTCAGATTTTCTTCTATCATTTGTGCTAAGGTCTCTCTGATGGACGAAAGAACAAAACCATTTCAAGTTCAGCAAAGAGCGGCTGAGTGTTGCTTCCGTTCTGGTCCTCTAGGTCAGGATGACCACTTTCTGCACCTCAGCACCCCAGCAAAGCTGACTGAGGCAATCTTCAGTTTCTTCACCCTTCCCCCTCAGAGACAACATCCTGCTTCATCCACCCACTTCATCCACCCGCTTCTGCCTACTCTAGGAAGTGCCCTGTAACTTATCAGATTTCCTTTGGAAACAGGGGGCACTGGTAACTTCTCACCTCTCCCTGAAGATTAAGGGGAAAGACCCCCTTGGTCTAGACAAACGACATAGCATTTTGTTTTGTTTATTTTCTGGATTGTTTCCTTTTCCTTTTACGGACAGTAAAACAGCATACTCACTTCACACACAGACAAAGGGGAGAGATTCCTGGTCTCCAGAGATCCAGGAAAGAGAAAAACTGATTGGAAACCACAGACAGTAGCAATGAAAACAAGCCAGCTGACTGCTGAGAAGGACAGAGGGAACCCGTGAACCACAAAATCCTCTGGATACTTAGACTTGAAGGAGGCTGATTTCAGTTTCTCCCCTCATGCTTTCCTCTCTCTTAGGTCCTGTCATTATCCTTCACCAGCCCACAGTCCCTCTTCTACCACACCATAGGGCATGGTTAACAGCCACTGTTAGCTTAGAACTAAATATTCATTCAGTTATTATCCAACAGAAGAAAATGTCATGGTAACTATTTACTAATCCTTGGTAATTAGGTACCACAGGTACATTATAATTAAGATCAGCTTTCCTTTATCAGAAAATATATTTTAAAAACACATTACACCGCTGCAAACAGCTACCTGCTCATATTGGAAGTTACCTACAGAGCTGAGATTTGGAATTAGCATCCTTGCCAAGCCTAAATGCCTTTAATAAAAACAAAGGGTTAGGATGTACTAAATTTTACTTCCTTCAGTTCTAATAGACTATTTCCTGAAGTCTACAAGTCACAACCTCTCCTCTACTAGTATATGTACTCATATTGAGCCACATATTTAGTGACCCCCAAGACATACACTGCAACTTGCTTTCTTTAAACAATAAAATACCTGATATCAGCTTGCCTTCCTGCCATGTGCTTTTTCTTTCATAAAAGCAGAGTACAGAATGTGCAACTGCATGACCTCCTGAGCAGTGATGTAACATGGGTACACTTCTGCAAAACTAATTATGGGCAGACTTCCGGGAAATGCTTGGTGCTGTGGAGGTCTCCGTGAGTTGTGAGAAAAGCGACAATACACAAGCTAGCAAAGAGCCACTTGAACACGGCACACCTTATGCTGAGAAAATAACAGAGATGGACAGTCATTCAGCTTTTAGCAAGAGAGTAAGAACTAAAGACAAAATGCAGGGCTGCAAATCTGAGTTCTTATTTGCAAAATGATTTAAAGCACTAAAAATATCAGATTTAAGAAATACTAAGTTAAAAAATAATCTCACTACTTTATTAAAAGAACTCAAGAACCAAAAAAATAAAAACGGCAAAAAGTGTAATTTCTCAGAGATATGGTTAAGGAGGGGGAATGGTTTAGGTAAAGGAAATTAATAAGCCAGGAACAGAAATGGCTTAGAACTTGAATTGAACTAACAGTTATTAGCAACACTTACTGAAATTTATTTCCCAAGCATTTTACATACACTGTCCAACTGAATTTTCACATCAGTCCTATAAGACATCCTTATTTTAAAGTGAAAATACATGAACATTAAAAAAATAAATAAATTACTCAGCATTATTAAATGCTGAGTTAGTCAAAACTGAGCCCTGTTCTGAAGGCACTAATAACCACCATGCTCTACCCTCTCGCTCCTACCCGACTCTGAAATACAACTATCTGTTGTTACAAAGTGAACCCACCCATCTTGAGGAGTTACCACACGTGTCAGAGGATGTTCACGGTCTGCTAACATAGGGGGCATCCATGCTGAGGCTGGAGGGGTTACTGTGCCTTCTAGACTGGATCCCACAAGAGAGCGGGCAGAACTCTGTGTCTGAAGGGGAAGAAAACAGCACACACGTACAATAAATTGCAAACAAGCAACCTTGATCCATACCATTTTTTAAAAAGCATACTGTTAAGATGTATAATTCAATCATTATTTATATGCACAACTGACTACTTGTCAACAAAACTATTCTCTCCACTACTAACCATACCATCACTGGCCCTTTTCTTCACTGACTAAAACTGTATCTAACACTGACTGAATGAATCTAGTTCTTCTAATCCAGCTTGGGTTTGGAACAGCTGAACAAGGGTCGACTTATCAAGTCAGATGCATTTACAACCACAGCAATCCAGGGCAGGGAGAACTATAAAAAAGAGGGACTGAGCTGGATATGGTGGCTCACACTTATAATCCCAGCACTTGAGAGGGAGGAAAATTACAGTAAGGTACAGCCCAGCTTCCAGCCTACACTAGAGTGAGCTCTTGTCTCAAAAGAAATAAAACCACACACATACCACCAGCACCACCAGGGTTGGAAAGGTGAATGAAAATACAAAAGTCCTTGTTGTGGAACAATCTTTGTATACTGTAAATATGTATTTCTCTCATTGCTTAATAAAAAAGATGACTGGCCAATAGCTGGACAGGTAGAGGTCAGGTGGGACTTGCAGACAAAAAAAGAGCAAGAAGAAGAGGGGAGGAGTCTCAGGAGTCTCAGAGAAAAGAAAGATGAACATGCTGTATTGAAAAATGGTACTGCCACATGGCAGAGTGTAGATAAGAAATATGGGTTAATTTAGGGTCTAGAGAGATGGCTCAGAGGTTAAGAGCACAGGCTCTTCTTCCACAGGTCCTGAGTTCAGTTCCCAGCAACCACATGGTGGCTCACAACCATCTATAGTGAGATCTGATGCCTTCTTCTGGTGTGCAGACATGCATGCAGACAGAGCACTGTATATATAATAATTAAATAAATCTTAAAAAAAAAAAAGAAATATGGGTTAATTTAAAATGTAAGAGTTAGTTAGTAACAAGTCTGAGCTATTGGCTAGCCATTTATAATTAATAGTAAGTCTCTGTATGGTTATTTGGGAATTGGCTGGTAGGACAAAAAAGTCCACCTAAAAGTCCTACCTCTATAATCACTCAGACACCAAACAAGGAATATGTGCACCCAGTGTAAAATATAAATATTCAAAGGACATAGCTCAAAGTAATAAAAACCCCTCTGGCGAAAGTGCTGAGTATTATTCACTAATTACTTACACAGGCAATTTTAAGGAGATGCCATATTTCTTTCTGCCTCTTTCCCTGCATAAACATGACAGTATTGTCAGCTTCTTTGATGTTACTGAGGGCCACTTCCACCTCGGGGAGTAGATCAATAATCTTCTGTTTACAGCCCAGCAACTTGCTGAAGAGAGTAAGTCAGTGTCAAACAATTGTCACATCTCTCAAGACGGTATAACATACCCCCCAAACCCAGAGGAAAAGAACCACAACCAGCATTATGTCTATGACTGATCTCAAAAGCAATGAATATAGGGGCTGGAGAGAGAGCTCAATGGTTAAGGGTACTGGCTGCTCTTCCAGGGGACCTGGGTTCAATTCCCAGCACTCAAATGGCAGCTCACAACCATCTGTAACTCCAGTTCCAGAAGATCTGATGCCCTCTTCTGGCCTCACACACATGGGACAAACATGCAAGCAAAACACTCATGCACATAAATAAAGTAAAAAGTAATGCATATACTCAGGGCTTATAAATGGCTATGTTTCCCAAGATACTAACAGAACTATTATTTACCAAAGAAGAATATTATACTTTAAAAGGAACACAAATACATTTAGGCATTTAGGCATTTGGCATTTCGGAGGAAAAACAGCAATTTTCTACCTCAGGTGACCAAACAGTTCCTTGAGAACACGGTCCTGACTCTGCACAGTGTGCACAATGATCTTCACCATCTCTGTGCTGTCACTGTAGGTGTGATCTAGAAAAGACTTCAGTTAGTGCAGTTATAACCTCTCCTTTGCAGAACACAGCCACTTCCAAACAAAAAATTCCTTAAAAACTCTTAAAAAGCTGCAAGTAGCCTAAAACGTCTTCATTTCTTATGGAATGCTGTCCTTGAGGTGTGCTACCGCTGTTGTCTCGAGATCTCAGAAGCTGTGAGATCTACACAAGACGAATGGTTCTGTCATGGTGCAGAGAGGGGCTCCTGAGACCTTTCCATGATTTATCCTTCAATCCCCCACAGACTTATAAGCAGCTTATCCCCTTATCCCCCTGGAAGGATCTAAAAACGGTTATCAGTTGCAGAAAGACAGAGAAAAGACAGGAGAGATTTTTGTTTAGAAGTGTAGCCACTGAAGCTCCTGTAAGTAATCCTAATGAAACTCAGATTCACCAAACAAGACTATGGTCAAATTATTACTTTGTCTGTCACTGGTGTCCTATCTAGTGTGAGTAGACTGTTCACATCTCCCCATAAAAAGCTTATACAACATCATTTAAATTAAAACTTAGATTTAAAATTTTAAGGTCATCTATAAAGAAAATCTAAGGGGTTGGGGGTATAGTTCAATGATAACCATACACAAAAAGCAAAGTTATGGGGCTGAACACAGTTGTCAAGAGCCCTTGCTGCTTTTCTAGAGGACCAGATTCACATCCATGTTAGGTGGCTCACAAATGTCTATAACTCCATCTCCAGGAGAATCTGATGCCCTCTTCTGGCCTCTGTGGGTACCCCCACACTTGCAGCATATACCCACAGACATAAATATTTTCTAAAAGGTAAATTTATTCATGGTTGTGCGTGGTTAATCTTTAGAGACTTATGTTGCCTATGTTTGAGATGAATAGCCTGGTTGATCTTTAACCTGTACTAACCCCAGTTCAGACACAGATGCAACCTTTGGTCAAGAGACTAGCTTTCTTACATGATTAACACCGCTTTTAGAACAGTGGGACAATCAGGCTTTCACTGCCTGTTTACAGCTCACAAAAACTTCATCTGAGAAAAAGCTGACTTACACCAATCCTGATGTACTAACAAAAGGGATCAGTGGACACCCAGAAGTTCACCCCAAAGCCAACAGTCACCTGGCAGATGTCCTCAAATGGGATGGTTGTTGGTTACACTGAGTTCTATACTTTATAAATGACACATCTCAGGTTGTTTTTTTTTTTTTTTTTTTTGGTTTTTCAAGACAGGGTTTCTCTGTAGTTTTGCGCCTTTCCTGGAACTCACTTTGTAGACCAGGCTGGCCTCGAACTCACAGAGATCCTCCTGCCTCTGCCTCCCGAGTGCTGGGATTAAAGGCGTGCGCCACCACCGCCTGGCTAATCTCAGTTTTTTAAACTACTATCATTAATTGTTGTATTTCAAAATATGACAACTTAAGTTTAAAAGGGCAAAAAACTGATGATGTATCACCCTGGTATTTTCTTCAGCAATAAGCCTGAAATCAAAAATACCACTATTGCTAATACTTGCTATTAACTGCACAAACTTTCTCATTTAATATTTTTCTGTATTACACCCAAAAGGAAAACTATAGGAGTTTCAAGAGATTCGAAAGGCTGTGGGACTGGAGCTTAGAGGTAGAGGTAGGGCCTGCTAAGCATATACAAGGTATATATATTGGATCCCCAGTACTGCAAGAGGAAAAAAAAATCCGTACTTTTAAAAATCATTCCAGAAGCCATTTCCACAGCTCAGTTTCATTCCCAGAATCTGTCTCTGTCTCTGTCTCTCTCCCCCACACCCTCACCCAAGCAGATACAGGGCTCCAAAAACACTTTTCTCCAAACAGTAGTCCTTCATAAATTCCACCAACCAAACCCAAGAGGTTTTCCATAGAATTAGCTCTTTTACTAATAAAGACCTCAGAACTTCAGCCTTTGCCAGAAGAGAACAAAGAAAATCAGTTTCCAGCCAGATAGTGGCATCGGCAGTGCCGGTAAACCCAGCACTTGGGAGGCAGAGGCAGGTTGATCTCTGAGTTCGAGGCATGCCTGGGCTACAGAGTGAGTTCCAGGAAAGGCACAAAGCTACACAGAGAAACCCTGTCTCAAAAAACCAAAAAAAAAAAAAAAAGGAAAGAAAATCAGTTTCCACTGTCTTCAGATTCTACCTCCTGCAGGAAAACACTTCTAAACAACCTGACCACCAATAAAGTGAAGTGCCTATCTGACATGTATTTCGTGAGTATTTGTAGCAATAAAACAAGCAAATTCTACTGTAAGAAAAACTGGAGAGATGGCTCAGCAGTTAAGAGCACACGGCCACCTATAACCCCAGGTCCAGTTTTCCAATGCCCTCTTCTGGCCTCTGTGGGAACTGCACACACATGGTGTACTGACAAACAGGCACAACATTCACACATAAATTAAAAATAAACTCTCAAAAAAAAAAAATTAAAACCAGTGCTTGAGAACATGCTGTTTTTTTAAAGACAGTGTAAATATTATATAAAGTGTCATATGTTGTTATATGTTTATAAATCTTCAAGTGTAAAACTTGAAAACTATATAAGTTATATAAAACTTTTTAAAATACAATACATACATTTGGGAGCATAGATATCCCTTTTATTACTTATGTAATCCTTCAAAAGAAATGTTTTTAAGTAAAATTGTTTTGCATGTATATACTACCTTATTTTTTTCAAAGCACTTCATAAACACTCTCTCAAATACACTGCCAAAGCTGAGTTAGAAGGCCAGGTTGGATTCATTTTGCACAAAAGGGAAATAGAAACAGAGAGAAGTGTTGGAGATTATTTGGTCAGTAAAATACCCAATAGAGAATTCAAAATTCTGGTTTCCAACCAACACTCCTTCCAGCAGACAATGCTCTATATTTGGCAGATGTTCAGTACGAATTGTTGGCCCAAGGACCTATGAGTGACCTGCGCTGGTGAAGGCATGGTTTTTCAAGACAAACTGCTTCTGAAGAGACTATGGACTTCTTCTCTTACTCCACCCAGAACTCATTGTGTTGAATTCTTTCCAACCTCCCTAACTTAAGCAGTATTTCCCCCATCCCTTTTACATATTTTTTTGACTGTTTTTTTTCCTTTTTGTTATTAGGGGAGGGTATGTCTGTATGGGGGCCCAAGGTCACCTTCAAGTGTCTTCCCCATGGCTTTCCACCTTTCTTGTTGAGATAGGGTAGCTCACTGAACCTGAAGCTTGCCGTTTCAGCTAGCCTGGCCACTGAGGCCCAGGAGGAATCCATCTGTCTCTACTTGCCCAGTGCTGCTGGGATCTCGGGGGTGTGCTGCTATGTGTGGCTTTTATGTGAGTGCTGGGAATCTAAACTCAGCCTCTCATGGTGCTGCAGCAAGCACTTTACCACTGAGCCATTGCCCCAGTTCCTTCCTTTTCTTTTTTGTTTGAGTTTCTTTTTTCTCCTCTACTTTCTTTCTTTTTTTTTTTTTTAAGATTTATTTATTTATTATGTATACAATGTTCTGCCTGCACGTGTACCTTCACACCAGATCTCATTACAGATGGTTGTGAGCCACCATGTGGGTGCTGGGAATTGAACTCAGGACCTCTGGAAGAGCAGCCACTGCTCTTAACCTCTGAGCCATCTCTCCAGCTCCTCCTCTACTTTCTTTTCACTTCACTTTAAAAACTTTTCTACTTCAATATCCTTATTACCTTTCTGTTCTCTTAAGTTCTTATAAATTTAAAGCTATTATGACATAAATGTTGCAATGAGAATACCAAAACAGGATCTTACTCTGAAGTGTAAAAAAATAAAATAAAATAAAGCTGCACAGCACGCCTTTAATCCCAGCAACCGAGAGGCAGGGCCAGGCGAATCTCTGTGAGTTCGAGGCCAACCTGGTCTAAAATATGTGTGTGTGTGTGTGTGTGTGTGTGTGTGTGTGTGTGTGTGTGTATGTATATATATATATATATATATATATATATATCTCCATCTTTAAATACTGTGAGCGAAGTGTCTTACCTGTAGGTCTATGCTTTAACTGCTTATAGAGATCAATGGCACGCTGTTCCCTACAAAAGAGAAAAAGAAAAACTTCTCTGTATGTGGAAGTAACTGATAATACACAACTTGAATATTGGTTATTGAGACAAGATCCAATTTTTAAGCAAGTACGGATCATCAATGAGTATTTTACAGAACATTTCATTGTATAGTAAGAATACAAGTCCTTAAGTCAGGCGGTAGTGGCACAAGCCTTTAATCCTAGCAGTTGGGAGGCAGAGGCAGAAGGTTCTCTAGGGGGTTTGAAGTCAGTCTGGTCTACTGAGCAGAGTTCCAGGACAGCTAAGGTTACACAGAGAAACTCTGTCTTGAAAAACAAAGAATACAAGTCCTTAAAACATGGAGCTTAAAAGAAAAGAAAAGAAGCCAGGCGGTGGTGGCACACGCCTTTAATCCCAGCACTCGGGAGGCAGAGCCAGGCGGATCTCTGTGAGTTCGAGGCCAGTCTAGGCCTCAAGTGAGTTCCAGGAAAGGTGCAAAGCTACACAGAGAAACCCTGTCTCGAAAAACCAAAAAAAAAAAAAAAGAAAAAAAAAAAAAAACATGAAAAAGACTTTTTTTAAAATAGTAAAGAACAATTCAGACAGTTATTTCCCAAACACACTATTACTAAGAAATAGCTTCCTTTTAAAATATTGTAAGGGCTGGAGAGATGGCTCAGTGGGTAAAGGCACTTGCTGCCAAGCCTAACAACTTGAGTTCAATTCCTGGGCCCACCATGATGGAAGGGGAGAACCATCTCACAATTTTGTCCTTTGATCTCTACACGTACACACTGTGCTGTGTGCATCTTCCCATGAAATAATGTTATTAAAAAATCATAGGGATATATTAGGAATAAAAAAAACCAGGAGCCAGACCATGCAGAGGCTTAATCCTGCCAGATATTAGTAGAAAGAACACCAGAAAAAATTATAGAATCAAGACCAACAGCACAGATACATTCTTACAGAGATTCCATCAAGTCTCCTTGGCGTCTTCCATAGGGGCTCTTCTGAAGCTCCATGATTTCAGTGTGCAAAGACATAATTTGATCCTCAAGGTAGCCAATGACACCAACCTAAATTATGATACAAACAAAGAAAATGCAGTCTTATCACCATGTAAAACAAGGCTCAGTGGTGCCAAACCTCTCACCACAGGCCTGAAAGAGCTGGCCCTGATGGCATGGGCCTAGGAGAGCTGGCTTTGCCCCTCGTCTGAGGGGGTGGTCACAATGGCCTGGACTGACCAGCTCAGCTACCACCCAGACCCACATCCTGGGCCTTGGGTTGGCCCACCTTAACAGCTGCCCCATCTATGACCTTCTGGAGTGCGCAAAGGGACTGGTCCTATGCACCATGACTCGGGGCAACAACAGGATAACCGAGAGGAGTTCCAGTGAGGGTCGAGTGATGAAGGGGTGCCAGAGGCCTTGATCCAGACCAATGACTCACTGCAATGAACATTTTGCTGGTGGGTCTGTTAGGACAAAAGGGGTACACTGCATGACATACTGCAGCTCCCGATGTCACTCGGATGAATGAAGAGGTGTTGGAAAGATGGAGGAGCAAGGTGGGATTTTGTTTATTTTGTTTTTAATTAATTTGGGGGGCCTACTGCAGGGATGAGGGGCAGATATGGAGGGACTAGGAAGTGAACAGGATTAGGGTGCATGACGTGAAATTTCCAAAGAATCAATAAAGAATTACGTTTAAAATTTTTTAAAAAAGGCTTAGTTCTTAAAGGTAGTCAATGATCTGTTATGCCAGTAGAACTGAATATTTTACTACAACCAAGCAGTTTTGTTAAATCGTTTATTTAATGAGACAGTGGTATTATGTAGCCTAGGCTATTCTTGAACCTGTAAATTCTCCTGTCTTACTCAGGAAGAGTGCTGGGATTATAGTGTAAAGAACCACACTAGGCAAGACAATATTTAGTAATTCTTTGAGAATTTCATAGGTGCATACAATGTATTTTGATCATATTTACTCTCCATTACTCCTCCTAATTCCTCCCAGATCTAGCCCCCCTTTCACCCCTCCCAACTTCATGTCCTTTTCTTTTTTAAAATAACCCACAGGGTCCACTCTGGGGTGCTCATATATTAATGAGTGTGAGGCCATACAATAGGGCACGGTCAAATTACTAAAGGCCACCTCTTTAAAGAAGACTGACTCTCCCTCTCCTAGCAACCATAACTGTTAATAGCTTCTCAACTATGGTGAGGGCTTTTCTATGCTTCTGAGAGTCTTTCATATAAAAACACCTTATGCCAGGTACAATGGTGCATACCTTTAATCTCAGCACTCAGGATGCAAAGGCAAATAAGCGCATCTCTGTGAGTCAAGCCAGCTTGGTCTACATAGTGAATTTCAGACCAGCTGGGGCTACACAGTGAGACCCTATCTCAAATAATAATGATAATAATAATAATAAAAAATAAAAACATACTTATTCCTGTGTTTCCCTTCTGACCACAGTCAACTAGTACTAGTATTTGCTTTGGCCTCTGGAGAAGCAAAATAGTCTAAGCGCCATTCAAGAGACAAATGGCCACTAAACCACTGCCACTTCTTACATATCAGCCCCACAACACCAACTGCCCTACCCACATACTCAGTGTAAGTATGAACTGGCACCAAGGGAAGCAACAGTCCCGGACCATGGACACACAGGATAAGCAAAGGATTTGCCACCTAGGGAACAATCTGTAATTACGGAACAACATCAGGTATAAAAAGAACTGACCCATTTAAACTAGATGTGAAGTCATCTTATCCAAACCAGTCAGAAAAATAATAGTAATACATTCCATTTATTACTGATTTCCATTTAACGTTCCTAAGCCTATTAGAAAAGACCGCTGCCCTGCTGTGGGATGTCTTTTTGTATGCTGTGAATATGTGTTGCTCTCATTGGTTGATAAATAAAGCTGTTTGGCCAATGGCAAGGCAGAATAAGGTTAGGCGGGACATTCAAACTGCAGATGGAGATGAAAAAAGTGGAGCCATGGGCAGATACTGTGAGCCGCTGCCAGGAGAAGCAAGATGTGAGAGAACGGGTAATGCCACGAAGCCACGGGACAAAACATAGATTAATAGGAATGGGTTGCCCCCTGCACTGCCCCTAATACATATAATATGGAAACTGGAGTTCAGTGAAGCTAAAAAGTTTGCCCAAAGCCTTTGGTTTTAAACCCCTACCTTCCTCTATATAAAGCACATACTAAATATTTGCCTAAATTTCAGGAATGATAAATATTCTCTCTATGCCAAGCCAAAGACAATTGCTAATGGAGACATTAGGTACACAGAGTGAGATCAATGACTTTACCTCAGCATAGTGAACGGCCTTTTCTTCCATTTCTTTCCATGCTTTCAGCATTTTTTCTGATGCTAAAAAAAAGAAAAGAAAAAGAAAAATCAAGTCTAAATTGGTTTCCTCTGAAACAACTGTGTCTTATAAACACTAGCCTGGCTGTTTCCTTGCTGTATCAATATCAAAGCCACATAATGGGTTGAAGTGTGTCTCTCAAATGGATATGCTGTACTCCTAAGCTCCAACGCCTTAGAAGGTGAGCTTACTGAGACAGGGTCATTTACAGAGCTGATCACCTGTGTCTATGCTCACACGGAACTAAGCCAGGCCCTTACCGCAGTGTGACTCTCTCCCAGTGTCCTCAGAGAGAACAGACTTGGGGCAGAGGGGTAAACAGAAACACAAAAGGAGAATGCAAGGTGGCAACTAGAGCTATAAGCAAGAGAACACCAAGCAAGGCCGACAATCCCAGAAAGCTGGGAAGGAGTCTTCTTTGCAGGTTTCAGAGGAATCACGGCTCTGCCAGCACCTTGATTTTGGATTTTAGCCTTGAAAAATCTGAGTTTTTACATCTATGCTGTTTTAAGCCACAGCGTTCTAGGAGAGTAGTATATAGTTTTTTATCTGAAAAAATTATCTTTAAGTAATACATAAACATGTTTCAGAAAAGTTCAATGTGGGATGTAGCTCAGTGGTAGACTTGCCTAGCATACACAAGGCTCCGAGTTTGGCTGCATGTGGTTGTGCACACATTTAATTCCAGCACTTGAGAGCCATAAGCAGACAGATCTCTGAAAGTTCAAGGCCGGCCTGGTCTACATAGGGATTATGTTCCAGGCCAGCCAGGGCTACAAAATGAGACCTTGTATCAAAAACAAAAAACAAACCAACAATATTAGGGTCAAGGTTCAATCCTCAGTACTGTAAAAATAAACAAATAAAAACTATAAAAGTATATAAAAAGAAAAGACTCTTCCCTCTACTGCAAGTGTTCTCACTAATGTAACTGTTAGAAGAAATAGTCTCTATTCTCTTATAAGTAAGACAGTCTATACATGCTTTTCCCCACAACTTAGTATCTCTATGGTATTTAAATGAGAATGGCCCCCAAAGGCTCATATATCTGAATGTTTGGTTCCCAGTTGGGACTGTTTAGGAAGGATTAGAAGGTGTGGGTGTGGCCTTTTTGGAAGAATTGTCAGTGGGAGTGGACTTTGAGGTTTCAAAAGTCCATGCCAGGTCCAGTCGTGTTTTCTCTCTGCCTCCTGCCTATGGATCAAATGTAAGCACTCAGCTACTGCTCTGGAGCCATGCCTGCCTGCCAGCCTGCCAGTCACCATGCTTCCCACCATGATGGTCATGGATTCACCCTCTGAAACTGTAAACAAACCCCCAATTAAATATTTTTTTTTAAGTTGCCTTGTTCATGGTGTCTCTTTATAGCACTAGAACAGTAACAGTCACTGTCAAACACTCCACTGATAATTTTACTATCAGCACATCTAGATCTATTTCAGCATGTTAACAACTGTGTAGTATGCCTCTGACAAGTCAAAGATGCTTCAATGAAATAATAGGGTTTGTCATTCGTCAGAATGCCTATAGTATGCCAACACAGAGATAGCACTAGAGAGCAAACATACTCACTAACTGGACACTCTGATCACTTATTCTGAGATATCCATACCCTTTTCAAGTACAGATATAAACAGCATCTACTTCCTTAAAAAGACACGTCTCATGGAGTAAACCATTCAGTTTATTTGAATTTTAACTCTTTACAAATCCTGAGCACATCTAAAGGCAGATAAGGTTGGAGTCAGGAGACTGCATAGTAAGAAAACAGTAGCTAGTATTCTCCAGCAGATGGATTAGGAAAAAAACCATAATCTTGTAATTATCTGAGTTTTTTTACAGAAAGACAAATAATTTAAGCCTCCCCTGGCTGTGTTATTCCACTTGAGTTGCTACGCTGCAAGAACAAAATCAGACACAAAAACCATTACACTCTAGGTGGCAAATAAACAATGGGAATTTATCTCACAGTTTTGAAATCTGAGAAATCCAAGATCAAGTTCTGGTTCCTAGACGGCTGCCTTCCGTGTCCCTTACGGCAGAAAGGGTGGGAGAATCTCACTCAGGCCTTAGGTTCCACCATGACATAATCATTTCCCAATTCTCCCCATGATCTTAGGGATCAGGAATTCAACATACAGGCTAGAGGAAGCACACACTTCAGTACACAGCACTGGCTGAGAAGTCATCTCAGTACAGACTCTGTATGCATTTTTAAAATAAGACTTGAAATTCAGAGTCTTAAGTCACTTCTGTATTATTTAGCTTTTCTAGAGTTAAGTAATTTTATTATAATTTTGAAATAAGCTGCTCAACTAAGGGATTAAAACAGCTAACTAACCCTAAATACAAAAATGGTTTGACAACTTAAGTTATCTTGTGTGTTGTTCTGGTGTGAATTTCAATTACTGGCTATGTGTCAACAAGATGAAGAGCAGATGGTTTCGAGAGACTAGACATTCCTTACAAATACATTATAGCCAGACACTTACATATCCCATAAGTCATCTGCTCACTATATCTCTCCAAGTCAAGCTGAATGCTCTTGTGAAAAAACTCCAATTTAGCTTTGAGTTGCTGTGATGCTGAGATCAAAGTATTCTTCATTTTTGTCAAGTTAGCATTATATCTAAGAAGACTTAACCTAAGCCATAGCAAAACAAAACAAAATTATCAACATTCAGAAACATTGAATAACAATTTGCAAACATACAATATCCAAACTCCAAAACCTAAGTTTCTATTATCAAGTCATGAAAAACAGCTGACCTGCTTCCTGCCTGTGATGTCTGTGATAAACAATCTTCTACTAAGGCACTCAGGAACTACTATTTTCAAGTCATTGTAGCCGAATGATTTTAGATCATTAATAAGAAATCTGTAAGTCTGGTCAGAACACTGTATTTCAGTGGAGTCAGGGTGATGGTCCAGTGGGCAAAGTGCTTCCTTGCATGCCGAGGACCTCAGTTTAGCACATGGCAGTGTTTGCCTGTCACATCAGTGCTCAGCGGCATGAGGAAACAGGTAGCTCCTAGGAGCTCATGGGCCATTAGTCCAGCTGAAACAGTGAGCTCCAGGTTTAGTAAGAGATCTTGCCTCAAAAATTAGGTGGGAAAACAATAAGGGAAAGATAGCCAACATCAACCTCTGGTTTCCACATGTGCATCCATTCACATGCACATAAGGACATTATTAAAAAATGCTCAATATTTTAGCCTTGTCCCCGGTCCTGCTCAATGAAAACTGGCAAGAATACTCCTTGAGTCATGACACACATATCTTAAACACAGAGCCACTTACATGGCTGCTCTTTGCCCCTGAAAGAGCCTGCTGTAGTCTTCCTTTAGCCCAGACACATAGTGCACTGCTTCAGCCCATACTTTACGCAGCTGTACAATTGGAAGCTGTATCTTGCTGTCTTGAACTATAAGCAAAATGGTAATAAGGGAGGTAAGCTACTTTCAAAGACATCATGGTTCATTCTTGGTTACTTCCTTTCCAAACACTATTCCCATAGATGTTAAAAAGGATCTACTGCCTGGCTCTAGATGTAAGGGTTGTGTGTATGAATGATATAACCACTTCTCTCATAGAGCTTGAGATTAATCCTGTATTTGCTTCTCTCCAGCCAAGAAGTTTCCTTTCCTCTTTGCTAATCCAAATTCTTTTTTTCTTTCAAGCTTTGGAACAAATTCCATCTCCTCCATAGTCCACCAGTCTACTCCACTCCTGAAAAGAATCTATCATCTCCTGAACCAGCTCAGCTTCATCAGATTTACAGGCTAAGCTGTGTGTACATATCTGAATACACATAATGAAGGGACAACTAAAAAGCAGGTTTGACCATAGTGGGCTTTCATTCTTCTATCTGTAGAGCCCTGTCCTCAGGAAGGGAAGCCTGTGCCAAGTGAAGGGTCTGGTGGTAATTTAAAGTCTACCTATACACCTTCATATTACACTAAATCCATCACCACCACAAATAGAAACCTCAACTAGGAGACACTGAACAAAACACTAAAAGATCATATTTACTAATCATGTAATTTCAAGATTAAAGTTCAGCCAACTAGCTGGACTTTACTTACCAATATAATTTACACAATCAGATAAACTTCTGGATGCAAATGGTCCTTCATATACAGTCTTACTTTTATCAAACAAATAAACCATGTAGCTATCACAGCCTCTCTGAAAAAAAGAAACAATTAAAATGAAAAGATTCAGCCGGGCGGTGGTGGCGCACGCCTTTAATCCCAGCACTCGGGAGGCAGAGGCAGGTGGATCTTTGTGAGTTCGAGGCCAGCCTGGTCTACAGAGCAAGATCCAGGAAAAGGCGCAAAGCTACACAGAGAAACCCTGTCTCAAATAAAACAAAACAAAACAAAAACCAAAAACAACAACAAAAAAATAATAAAATGAAAAGATTCTTGAAAACTCTAGATTTTACAAATACTTACACGCCAGATTTCCTTCTTTGAAATGCAATGAACAAATCAATGTGCATTCACATATAATTTATAGACATGAGGCCTAAGGGTTAGTAAAAAGATATATGGGGCTAAAGTGAAAAGTGACCACCAGACTCAAAAGGATAAATAGAGCAGGTGTGGAAAGAGGGTAATGGGGTTCGTGTGACACGGAAGCAGGAGGACGGTTTGGGGATAGGAAGACCAACAAAAGAAGGGCAAGATGGAGGAGGGAGGAATAAGAAACACTATGGTGAATATACATGCATAAAAATGCCATAAAGGGCTGGAGAGATGGCTCAGAGGTTAAGAGCACTGGCTGCTCTTCCAGAGGACCTGAGTTCAATTCCCAGCAACCCCATGGTAGCTCACAACCATCTATAATGAGATCTGGTGCCCTCTTCTGGCATGTATATACATAATAAATAATTTTTTTTTTAAAATGCCATAACAAAACCCATCATTTTGTCTGCTAACTTAAAAAGTTAGGAAAAAGAGAAAACAATAAAGTTTTTCTAGTTTTAGCAACTAAAAGCCAAAAGAACAAATATAAAAGGTCATATCGGTGAATAAAACACTCTGTGGTTACCAAAAGGAAAAGATTAGGTACCAGAGTAATCAAAATACAGGGAAGGATGAGGGGTCAGCCTTGGCTACACAGCAAGACTCTTTCTCAAAAGGCCCCACAAGAATGAAACAAAGTGCTTACATACCCTGTAACACTGATAACACTAAAAACATACTGCTAGAGTTGGGGAAACAGTTTATCAGTAAACACTTGTTATACAAGCATGGAGACCTGAGGCCAATCTCCAGAACCCACATTTTAAAAAAACAGTGGCGCCTCATGATTCCACCAGCTTAGCCTAATCAATAAGTTCTAGGTCAATGAGAGAGCCTTTCTCAAAACAAAGAAGATGATTATTAACAAGGAAGGGTGACTGAGGTTGACCTTTGGCCTCCATAAGCACCTATGTCCATGTACACCCTCATAAACATATGCACCTACACAAACACATAGCTATACATATACACGCACGCAAATCTACAGAGATCGAAAGTAGATTAATGGGATGGGTAGAATGGAAATGTAAGAGTTAACGGACATGAGGAACAGAAATATCTTATACTGATTAAAATTTATTTTTGTAAAGTCTATGAATTAATTTGAATGAGTAAATTATATGGCATGCAATATATGCATCTATAATAAGAAGAAAGAAAATGAAAGGTTATAAGAAATATTTTTTTGAGACAGGGTCTCTCTACATAGCCCTGGCTGGCCTTGAACTCACTATGTAGACCAGGCTAGTCTTGGAACTCACAAATGCTGGGAATTAAAGGTATGCACCACTATACCCAACTGAGTATGTGTGCATCTAAATTTTTAGCCACAGTTTCTACAGCATAGCAGAGTAACTACAGTCTATATAAGAGTTATATATTTTAATATAAGTAAAGGAAAAGAGTTTGCAAGTTCTAACACACAGAAATGGTAACAGTCAAGGGGATGAAATGCTTATCTTAGTTTAATCATTGCACAGTGGACACATGTATTGAATTACTATACAGTGCTCCGTAAATAAGTACAAATGTCAGTCAACTGAAAACAAAACAAAACCTGTGCAGGAAGCTCAGGCCTGTGGTTCCAGTTCCCTTCGGCAAGAAGACTGTGAGTTAGAGGCCATTATGGGCTATACAGCAAGACCCTGATCCACAACCCTCCCTCACCCCCACAAAAAATCTCTTACAACTCCATCTAGAACACACTGAGAGGCTGGTTTCCGAGGATCCAGAGAAATTCCTGTCTCTGACAGAAGTTCTTGAGAACCGGTACTTATTCCCGTTTCACGCTCAATACGAGACTGTAGTGAATGAAAACTTTCATCACACGGTAACAGAAAAGAAATGATTTTTGCAGAAGTCATATTTAGGATGTGCACTATCTGTATAAAAAAGAAAAAAATGTGTTTATTTACCATTTATTACATAAACAATTCTGTAAAAGATACTAAAGGGAGAATCTAAGCAACAGGCATTACTTCTGTGCTAAATAAGGCTCACTCCTCCAAAGTAATAAAATCTTCTTTAATTACAAAAATGACATTTTACAAGACAAAGACTTGAATTTGTTTTTCTAAATATATAAGGTTTGCTTTGTGGGTTTTTTGTTTGTTTTACTGTCCTGGAACTTATTATGTACAGCATGCACCTGGCTCTGCCTTCCAGTGCTGGGATTAAAGGTGTGCGCCACCATGCCCAACCAGATATTAGTTTTATCTAATAAAATCCCCAAGTTCTAAGGATGCACAAAATCAAGAAATAGAAATGTTAGCTTACAAAAGTTACTTAACATTATTACAGATTTTTATCAAGTTTCTCGTAAATGCCAACCAGAGTAAAGCACTTTCACACAGCACCCCAATACTTACATCTTCTAATCCCCTTTTAAAAGAAGGAGAAATGAGGCTTCTAAGAAGGTGAAAATTTTGTTAGGGATCACACAGCTGATAAATGGTAGAGCGTGGATCTGAACTCTTAACTACCTCGTGTTGCCTCAAAACAATCATCTGATAGAAACGATGGGCTTCTCTTTCAACAGGAATAAGCATTATTATTCTCCCAAAGCAACCAAATCCTAAAACTGTAGTCTGCCTAAGGGCCCAAAGACAAAAAGAACAGTCTCATACTCACTTACAGGCTCAGTCAATGAAATGGATGAGAAATTTTGGCATAATTAATGGTAACAGAAAAAAAGCTCTCTCTCTCTCTCTCTCTCTCTCTCTCTCTCTCTCTCTCTCTCTCTCTCTCTGTGTGTGTGTGTGCGCGCGCGTGCGCACATGTGCATGATTGAAGAGAGTGCCTAAGAATGTGAGCATGTGCAAGTACACTCAGGGGCTAGAAGAGAGCTTCAGATCCCATGCATCTGGAGTTACGGGTGGTTTGTGAGCTGTCCAATGTGGATGCTGGGAACTGAACTTGGGTCCTCTGTAAGAGCAATACATACCCTCAACAGCTGAGCTATCTCTCCAGCACTGAAGAATAATTAAATACTTCTGTTTTGTCATTATTTTTATCTTTAAGCTTTTCATAATAGTTGGGAAAATGCTTATCTACTTAGACTCTCTGAAATGCTTTCTTAAAGAAAAATATTTCAACAACTATTTTGTTGCTATGAAATAAGACAGAATGCCTTCCTGGTACATTGTATCTCAAGATACCTTAGGAAAATGTCCATTAACACTCAAGTGTTTTATAGTTCATGCTTCTGTGTTTTGTTCATTGTATCCCCCGCCAAGAAATCTCCTACTCTTCTCTTTGCCCTATTAACTCCAATTCTATAAAATCCAGTCCTAATTCCAGCCGAGGAAATTAAACTTAAATCCTCCCAAATTTTACAAACAGTACTCCAGTTTCCTTATTCTGCACAACCTCTAAGATTGATGCTTTGAGAAATATCAATTTACTCAAAATAAAGAGAAGGTAAATATTTGCTCAGATTCACTGACAGGTAAACAGTGGTATTGCAAACTGGAAGTTTATGAATCACAAGTAACATGAGATGGACTCAGATCCCTTCAGACTAGAGAAGATGATGAGTACTAGGCACCATGCAGATGTTGCACAGACATCTGAGCAAAACACTCATACACATCAAATAAAATACGTAAGTCTAAAAATAATTATTTTAAAAAGCAGGGGTAATGTTACAATTACTGTAAGTTGAGTAGATCAGTTATGTAGAACCAAATACTTTTAGAGACAACACAGAACTAAGAGGTTCACCAAGCCCTGCAATGTGTACACACAAAGGAATGATTTTTCTTTGGCACAATACAAGAAAACCAAGTCAAGACGCCAGTATCAGGCCAGGTGCGGTGATGTATGCCTGCAAATCCTAGCACTCAGGAGGCAAAAGCAGGCGGATCTCTGAGTTCAGATGAGCTGGTCTACAGTTCCAGGACAGCCTGGGCTACACAGAGAAATGATTTGGAAAATAAAAATAAAAAAGAAGCCAGATCTTTTCAGAGTCAGTTAAGCATAGTATCAATATGCCCTCAAAATCCTACCGAATAGGGCATGTCATTTGTCTCTACACATTTATAAGTTCTCAATCTGATTTTAAAGCCTGACTATGGATCTTAGTTCCTTAAATCCCATAAAGGAGCACATAACTGAATGTCCAGGTCATGAAGAATTCGGCACCATAAAAGGTTTCTGAACGCACAACTGTTAATCCAAAATCAAATGCATAACTACTCCGAAGCCTTCTTGGCAGTTCCCATCAGCGTGTGACTTCACTGGAGCCTTGCTTCTGAACATAACAATGCGCAGTTTGCACTGTGCCTGCCCTCCCTGAACATGAAGCCAATGAATGCTTCCTGAAATATCTCAGCTGAGATCTTAGGTGACTGCATGCAAATGGACTGCAGCATCTTTTACTGTATATATCATGTTCTTATACAAAAGCATAATGGTTTAATTACAGAAAACAAAACTTTTTAACATTTTCTACCATTATCCCTCAGCAAGTAAGTATTGAATTAATGTACCTTTAGATTGTATTTACTACAGACCGTTTGATTTTTTTTAAATTGCTGTTTCAATTTGATTTAAAAAACTATTAAATGAATTTTGGTTTGGGATTAGAACAGAATTTCCAATTTCTGCAATGTTCATCAATTACTTCTGCCCCTTTGTACTGAATATTTATGCGAAGAAGCATTCTCAACAATGACTATGAAACCAAAACATCAATCAACTCTGAAATTGCTGATGAAGTTCTCTGCCCATCCAATCAAGATTCAATTTTTTATGTAAAATAAGCAAATCCATCTCATTAATATGCAAATTTTCTGTAATCTTTAATGATAAAATTATATATACATATCAAAGAATTGTTTTAACATAAAATTCTTTATGAGTACATGTCTGAGTTCACATGTATTGTGTATACCTATATTCTCTAGCCAGGAAAACATTTCTCAGACAAAAAGTGTTAAAAGTTTAAGCAGCTCTGCTGTACTGTCAGTAGGAAAGCAATGCTGACGGAGCTGTTTCCAGGCATATGGAAATAACCGAACTATCTATACCTCCCACTCACATCAATAAATATGTACCGAGAACTGATTCATGCCCTCTCAGTCCTGAATGCCAACATATACAACTAATAATAATACAGACACAGCACTGAGGAAGAGAATCTAAGAAGAGAGTTGTAAACAAGAGGTGAGAAATCTTAGAGAACACAGAAAATATTACGTGACTAATTGTATGGCCCTGATTGAAGGAGGGAGAGGTTGAGAGAACAGGTATGAGGCACGTCGTGCTGGTTACAAGCCGATCAGTTTAAATGTAGCTTGGCAAGCAAAAGGAAATGTGTTAGTTTCTTGGACATAGAACCAAACACGCCTTCTCAGAAGACAAGCAGTTCACGTTGCATTGACTGTAGGATGACGAGAAAGCACTACCGGCGGCCATGTCAGGGGCTCGAGCTGCAGTCAGTAATGGAACTTAGGGACTACAGCCCAGAGGATAACCAGGTCATGATGGGTGCATCCTGGAGAGGAGGTAAAGCCCCGGGAGGACGGTCTCCAGGAAGCCCCTGCTGCTGCCGTGCCTCCTGCTGCTGCTGCCGCTGCTGCTGCCGCTGCCGTGTGCCCGCTGCAGCAGGCATGGTGAGACTACTACGTGAAAGGACCCGCTGTATCTAGTACAGTGTGAAAATCCCACTCCTCACTGGGGATTTTTTTTTTTTTTTTTTTTTTTTTTTGGTTTTTCAAGACAGGGTTTCTCTGTGTACCTTTACACTTTTCCTGGAACTCACTCTGTAGACCAGGCTGGCCTCGAACTCACAGAGATCCGCCTGGCTCTGCCTCCCGAGTGCTGGGGTTAAAGGTGTTCACCACCACCGCCCAGCTCTCACTGGGGAATTTACTTGTGGATCATAATGAAGATGATTTTTACACAAGCAATGATGATTAGTTAGATCTATGATTTAATTGGACTTTCTGAGTTTGCCTAAAAGATACAGGTGGTTAGGATAGTTAGTAAAGATGATTAAGGAAATGGTTTAGGTTATTCTGCCAATTACTCCAATAAGAATACAAAACAGGCTAAAAGTCACCTTCCCCTTTGTTAGATGTGAGATTTGCAGAAGATGGAAAATAAGAACAAAGAAGTTTCATACATTATAGACCCATGAATTCTGCCTGTGGAAAAAAAGGCTGATGACTAAAAAGAACAATTATGTCCCTACATCCAAGGTTAGGCCTGAGTTCCTTGGTCATGTAGCTTACAGAACTAATCACAGGCCCCAGTATGCATCTTGAAAAAACAAAGCTGTAAAAGGAAATTAAATGATCCTACTGTGTGTAAAGAAAAGCAGATGGTTACCTAGAAGACCACCTGGTTAAGGTTCTGTAGAGTAGAAATAGAACAGGAATCTGCTACACCGAAACCGCAGACAGCTGCCTGCCAGTGCAAAGGAACTGGCTGAAACAGACTGGGCTTGCTTAAAACCTTGTTAATCAATTATAAAAGAATCATTGCTTTCGGGTGAAGATGTTATGGTGGGAAAATTAATACAAATAAAAACATGTAACTTGTGATCATAATTTTATTTCTTCCTGTGTAAAGATTTTAATTTGTTTTTGGAAAATATGTAACTTGTGGTTGTGAGGTAATCTTTTCTTTCATAGAAATTTTTGTCTCAGGAGGTATAAAAGGGGTAAGAGAAAAATAAGAATAGTAGAAGAAAAGCACCAAGGAAGATGTAGAAGGAAAACAACACGATAAAAGAACAGAACAGAGTAAGAACAACCAGCAGAGAGAAGAAGAATTAAGCTTTGGCCCTCAGAAAAAAGTCTCCTGTGTGTGCATGCAGTTCTGCTGTACCACACCTCCTTTGCAGTTTCTCTGACCTGCTGAAAGCTGGCCTTTCAGCAGCAAAGAGTACAGACATGAGCCACGTGGGAGCCTTCCTCACCAAGCCAAACCCAGTACAATTCAATCTAAATGAGAGACGCGGTAATGGCACCAATCGATGTAGTACAGGGAAATCCCAAAGACACTTGAGCAGGCTAGACCATCCGAAGACACCTGAAAAACCTAGCTAAAGAAATAAAGTATCCACTCTAAGGGTATAATGTTCATTTTTAATGGACACCAGGAAAAGATCGCTAAAGTAAAATTCATGCTCATTTTCAACCTGTTAGGGCCAATGCGGGTCTTCTAAAACGCACCCCATGAAAACTGACCTTTAAGTTGAGAATGTGATCCATTAATACAAAACATCTTGGCTGCTTCAAAGTAAGATCAATAGGTCCCCCTCTCTGCTGTGGGTCCCAATTCAGCATCAATTGTAGCCAGCTTTCCATGGGCTCTACAATTAAACTGAAAAATGAACAAAAACTGTGTGAATACCACTATGCTCCAATTAAACAGGGAACTTCACAGGTTGCCCATTTCCTTGCCCATGACTTATCAGTACCATTTATATCTTACTTTCAAATAATTCATGTAATGACAAGGAACAAGATTTCTTCATAAAAACGGTCCCAAATCCCCATGTCACTTTGTGACTGGCAAATCCAAAAGATGAGTCCACCTCCAATCTTCAGGAAAGCCACTTTACTTCTTCATTCTTTGGACTTTCTTAGCATCTAAGGCAATCCGTTGATTGGCAATGGTTCTCAGTTCCACAACGTCTGTGCTACCCAATAGGATAATCACTAATCACGGTGTTATTTATATTTACGACTCATTTAAAATTGAGTTCCTCTGTAACACTAACCACTCTCCTCTCCAGCCCAGGCAGCGTTGGGAAGCAAAGCCAACAAGCATGCTAAGCGAGCACTGTACCACTGAGCCATCTCCACCCCTAACTACCTTTCACATGCTCAGTCTCACGTGACAGACAGACAACGCTCTCATTCTCAGGCAAAGGTCTACTGGATAATGCTACTTGAAACAGGTAACTATTCTCAAAACTGCCTGACCTTCCACACTTACCTACAAAGGTTGTTTGGTTGAGGTAAATGGCTACTAAACCTAACTTCTCCAGTCATCTCTTCACATGCAAATATACACTTTGGATCTTTCTTCTTAATCTTCTCATGCCTATAAAAACAAGACACCTTAGTTGATAACTTGATTCTCACAAATACTCTCAAAGTTTCTTGCCATTTAATTTTATTCAATTCTGTGTTAAAAGACAGTTTCACCACTATAGAAAGAGAACAGGAAGCAACTGAATTTTTCTATTACCACTAATTATGCCAAAGTTCTCATCATTTCTTACCAGGTAAACGGCTGCAGATGATGCAAAAAAGGCCTATATCCAGCAATACATTCAAACACCATGGTCCCAAAGCTCCAATAATCCACAGTGGCTGTGTACGGCTTATTTTCAAAGAGCTCTGGGGCCTTAAAATAGAAAGTACTTTAAGTGCCAACACTGAAAGAAAAGACTACTATTGTTTTGAACTACTATATTCATTGCCTTAAGAAATAACAATGAGAATTTTAAGTAATCAAATCAAAGAAATTTTGTCTCACCAAATACTGTAATGTTCCCACAAAGGATGTACAGAGACTTCCTTGATCAACATCTTTGGCATAACCCAAATCAATTATTTTATGCATTATCTGTGAATATTAAGACATAATACATATTAAATTGTTGAAAAATTTGCAAAAGAGAGGTAGGTTGGGAGTGTAGCTTAGTGACAGATTGCTCCCATTGCATGTATAGGGTTCAATCCTAAGCACAGCAAACAGTAAAAAGGTGAGCCATTGAAATGGCTCAGCTGATAAAGGTACCTGTCACCAAGCCGGATGACCTGAATTTGATCCCCAGGACGACACGGGAGAAGAACAAATCCTGCCAAGTTGTCCCATGACCTGCACACAGGTCACAGCACAGGCATGCACTCATGCACACAAAATAATAAAATAAATGTAATTGAAAAAAGAAAGGCAATAATGTTTTTATAAAACTAGAGGAGATGGTAAAGAACCCGGGCTCTAGAACAACACAAAAGTGTAAAGTCTGATAGCCTGATCACTATTTAACTAGTTGTGCTAATCTTTTTGTTGTTGTTAATTTTTGAGGCAGGGTCTCCACTGTAACCCAAACTGGCATCAAATTTACAGCAACCCTCCTGCCACAACCTCCCAAAAGCTGGGATTACAGATGTCAGGAAATATGCCTGGCTAACCATATCATCTTAATCAAGTTAATTCACCTCTGGCAGTTTCCTACACAATTAGATCAACATTCCTAGTCCAGAGATGAGCAAGACAGAAGCTTCTCTAAGGAGCCATTGTTCTGTTAGAGAAGACAAAATCTAAGCCTGAAACTAGCTGAGGGGCTGAAGAGTTGGTTAAGCAGTTAGGAGCACCGTTGTTCTTGCAGAGGACCTGAGTTCAATCCCAAGCACCCACATAGCGGCTCACAACATCTGTAATCCTGGTCCCAGGGAGTCTGATGTCCCTTCTTGTGCCTCTACAGCACATGCGGTACACATACATATAAATACAGTAATAATAATAATAATAATAATAATAACCGGGTGTGGTGGCACATGCCTTTAATCCCAGCACTTGGAAGGCAGAGGCAGGGGATCTCTGTAAGTTCAAGACCAGCCTGGTCTACATAGTGAGTTCCAGGACAGCCAGGAGAGACCCTATCTCAAAAAAAAAAAAAAAAAAAAAAAAAAAAAAAAGGAATAATAATAAATCTAAACTGGAAAAGCCCCTACAGTTCAATACAGTGAGGACCGCAATAGAAACTTATACAGTACTGTGTATATAGAACTAATAAGGACACTAAAATCTCTAAAGACTTAATATATCAGGAAGACTATAACAACAGGCATGAAACAGTCTTCAGGTTTCACTTACCTTCCCACCAACATCTTGAAGAACTATATTTTCAGGTTTTAGATCTCGATGTATAATTTTGTTTTCATGCAAATATCGAATCCCAGATCCTAAATAAAATTTCAAGTGTATTATGAAGTAACAGAAAATATTGTTTAGAAAATCATCTCACATTTTGTTTGTTTTTACTGTTAGTGTTTGTGAGACAGGGTCTCGTGTAGCCTGTCTGGCATGAATTCCCTATGCAGCTGAGGATGACCTCCAATTCCTAATCCTCCTATTCTACCTCCCAAGTGCTGGAACTGCAGATATGCACCAGCACACTCAGCTTTTTTTAGACAGGGTCTCACTAGTAGGTGTGCTGGTCTTGAACTCACAGAGATCCATTGGCCTCTCTTCCCGAGTGTTAGAATTAAAGGTAGGTGCCACCATGTCCAGCCACGTTCAGTTTTTACCTCACATTTTGCACAGATCTACACTGATGCACAAATCTGTATGTCCAGAGGCTTGGAGATGGCTCAGTGGGTAAAGGTGAGTGCTCTGGAAAGCATGAGGACCTGAGTCCAAATCCCCACCCCACATAAAAGGGCAAGGAAGGCTGTGTGTAACAATAACCCGAGCAGAGTTGAGAGAGGGAGAGGCTATCTCAGGAGTTGGCTGGCCAGCCAGCCTAGTCAAAATGTTAAGCTTCGAGCTGAGTCAGAGACCCTGTCTCAAAACAATGAAGTGCAGAAAAACAGAACACCTGACATGCTGCTCTGGCCTCCACATGCATGCTCCTGTGAGTGTGCACCAACAATCACATCCATGTACTGCACACACACCACCACACACCCACACACATTAATATGATCCATCAAAAGTGCATCACCAACATTAGAATAGTTCAGGTTTTCTTCAACAAATGTTCAGTAACATCAAATAAACTCTGAAAAATTACAATATAGACCCATTTAATTTATTGAAATCAACATTAAAAGCAAATGAAACAATTAATTCTTGAGAAACTCCCTGTAAGCCCTATAGCCTTTTCCTCTAACCTAAATCACATCCCTAGACTCTGCTGCCCGTGACTAGGAAGAGCAGCAACACCAGACACACACAGAAGCTCATGTCTGCTTTTGAGGCTTCTCAAAGGTCTAAATCTACTTACTTTAGGGATTTCTCAGTAGTAATTTTGATTAAAAAGAGAATTTTATCCCAAGATAACCTGAGGACCTTCCCTCAAAAGATGTAACTCCATTATAAACAAAACTACTATGAGAGTGTTGTGGGGAGGTGTGAGAGGGGATGAAATGACTGCTATTTCATACCAATTTGTTGTTGTTGTTGTTGTTCTCATTGGAACATCTATTAGACAAAGATACATAGCCAAAAAAAAAAAAAAACCACCCAAATAGAAACAAATGCCAAAAATATATTAGTTTTAACTAACATCATTAGAAATGAATTTTTCTTTCTCTCTTTCTTTCTTTTTTTTTTTTGGTTTTTCGAAACAGTGTTTCTCTGTGTAGCTCTGGCTGTCCTGGAACTTACTCTGTAGACCTGCTTCTGCCTCTTGAATTACTGGGAGTAAAGATGTGCACCACCACTGCCCAGCTTTTTGTTTTATAATTTTTTATAAATGTTAAAATCTACATGCTTTGTAGAATATACAGACAGTTCTCCTTAACTTCTAAGCAGTACACAGAAGTTTTTGTGGACCAAAGGGATATTAATTAAATAACAATGACATTTTTTTTTTTTTTTTTTTTTTTTGGTTTTTCGAGACAGGGTTTCTCTGTGTAGCTTTGCGCCTTTCCTGGAACTCACTTGGTAGCCCAGGCTGGCCTCGAACTCACAGAGATCCGCCTGGCTCTGCCTCCCGAGTGCTGGGATTAAAGGCGTGCGCCACCACCGCCCGGCAACAATGACATTTTAATATTAGTTACATACCTATGTCACTCAGTAAAGAAAGTATCTGGCTTTCTTTAAGTCCACAACAATTTTCTGGTTTGTTGAGTAGCTAAAGAAAAACAAAAATAAATAAACAAGTAAGTCTACAATTTTATACTATTGCTGAGTAGCAATAGCAACACATATTAATCGCTTACTGTCAAAGAATATTCAAATGAAAAAATAAGTCACAATAAAGGAATTATAAGGATTGGGGCATGTGGTACATGTCTATAAGGCCAGCACTTGGGAAGATGGGGCAGGAAGACCATGAGTTCAAGGCCTGTTTCAAAAATAGTAACAATGACAAGAGATGTAAGAGAAAAAACAGTCACCAAATCCATACTGAGGTCGAGTGATTTCATGAGAGGCTCATAAAAAGGAAATACAAGGGCAATCACACTTGAAATTGAAAAATGCTGACAAAGACAGATACATTTAAAATTAAATAGAAAGAATAATTGTAAGACAGCTCTTTTGTTGTTTTCTTTCCTTTGCTTGTCCCCCTTTCTTTCTTTCCTTTTTCTCTTTCTTTTTTTTGAGACAGAGTTTCTTTATGTTGCCTTGGCTGTCCTGGATCTCAGTCTGTAGACCAGGCTGGCCTTGAACTCAGAGATCTGCCTGCTTCTGCCTCCCAAGTGCTGGGATTTAAGGCATTCACTAACACCACCTGGCAAAAGACAGGCTTTTTAATAAGCCTCACAAATGTACTTTTATTTAAAAAGGTCAACATAGTCCCACCTTGGAAACAGCAATAAAAAAGCATGTTCCAAGCCAGGCACAGTGGCACATGCCTTTAATCCCAGCAGTCACAGGCAGAGGCAGGCAGATCTCAAGGCTATCCTAGTCTACAAAGCAAGTATCAGGCCAGCCAGGGGTACACAGTGAGACTTTGTCTTGAAAACAAACAACAATAAACCTGTGGTATACGTAGTGATTAGTTTGTTTGTTTGTCAAACAGCACAAGCTAGGTCATTTGGAAAGAGGAAACCTCAAAAGAGACAACGCCTCCTTCAGACTGGCCAGTAGGCAAGTCTATGGGACATTTCCTTGATTAACAATTGATGTGGCAGGGCCCAGGCCACTGTGGGAAGTGCCACCTGGGCAGGTGTTGCTCCTGGGTTGTATAAGAAAGCACAATGGCTGGGCGGTGGTGGCGCATACCTTTAATCCCAGCACTTGGGAGGCAGAGGCAGGCGGATCTCTGTGAGTTCGAGGCCAGCCTGGTCTACAGAGCGAGATCCAGGAAAGGCGCAGAGCTACACAGAGTAACCCTGTCTCAAAAAAAAAAAAAGCAGACTGAACAACTGAACAAGCTATGGAGAGTAAGTCAATAAGCACTGTTCCTTCATTGTTTCCACTTTAGTTCCTGCCTTGGTTTCCCTCAATGATGGACTGCGATCAGGACATGTATAAGCTTTTATTTTCCCAGGGTGCTTTTGGTCATGTCTTTATCACAACAATAGAAGGCACTAAGGCTGGGTTAGCAAGTATTTTCTGGAAAGAGCCAAACATTAAGTCCTTCAAGCTATGGAAGCCATATAACCTCTGTCACACTACTCAATTCTAGAGCTGTCCAAGCAGCCATAAACATGCACAGTGCTGTGCCCCAGCTAAAGTGGATTCACAGACCAGGCGGCAGGACAGAGTTGTCTATCCTTAGTCTTGATGGTCCGGCCACAGGATTCAGACACTGCTAATGCTTGTGATTTACTACTTCAGTATCTCCAAACATCCACACTACCTTCCGGAGATCTCCTCCAGAACAGTACTCCATTGCCAGAAGAGGCACGTCGTTAATTAAAAAATTCAATTCCTCTGGAACGTCGCAGGCCTTTACGACATTTGCATGGTTCAACCTAATAAGGAGAAAACATTACAATAAAAAAAAGTTTTCCCATGAAGAGGGACTGGATTTGAAATGATAACTGGGGATTAACTACTGAGATAAGACTGGTTTTATTTACAAAATTCTAAATTCTGATTTACTGCATTTAATCTTAGCTAAAAGGCTAAGACGCTATTAATTTCTGAATTGTCTGATTAAAATAAGCAAGTTTTACAAGGAAAATATATATAAAAGCACATCACTGTTACTATATTTCTGTGTACCAGCAGTATGTTTTTTACATGTATCAACTGATTTACTTGTCACAATAATCTTAATACAAGTATATTTGTTAACAGTATCATCCATGAGATAAAAGATGGTTAGTTAACGTTAAGACCACATGACAAGTCTGTTATCAATGATGATTTAAACCTGACAGTCTGGCACCAAAGTCTACATCACACTGCCTCTTCCACAATCACAATCATCACCCTAAAAATCTGGACATTCCCTTCCAGTTTTAAATGTAAATACAAATACAGTTTTTTCAATAATATGACTCACATTATTTACTGACTTCAATCGCTCTTAAAATTTTTTTTAAAGGTCAGAAGAGGGCACTGGACCCGCTGGAAACAGAGTTATAGATGGTTATAAGCCACTGTGTGGGGACTGGAAACTGAGCGTGGATCTTCTACAAGAGCAGTAAGTGCTCTTAACTGCTCATCCCTTTCTCCAGCCCCATAGTTCTTTTTGTTTAATGTAACAATCTATTATCATCTTTGTGATCATCCTCACAATGTAATAGAGCCCTAAACAGTAGTGTCTCATGTCCCAGGAACTAAGGAGACAAGTGCATGAGGGTTTGAGAATTTATAGTAAGTTTGCCTGGCAATTCCGCCACATAGCCAAGTGTGAAAGCCAAAATAAAATAAGTTGAGCACAGACTAAAGTCAGAAAATGCTTGTTTCAAATCCAGCACCAGCTGTATGACTGTGTTTCATCTTTCTCGTCTACAAACCAGGGCAATATTCAAATACCCAGCTGTGATGACCACCACAGGATGGTCTGTAAAGCACACGACTTACAGAAGCACACCGTTAGAGCTCAAACAGATCCACTGTCCCCCAGAAGTTCCATTCTGTTCTCCTTAAGCATACATACTATTCTTAGTGACCCACTGCTAACAGAATGCAGTGGGAAAAAGGAATATGACTTCTAAGGCAACTTCCTAAGTGATATATCAGTTTTTTTCTTATTCTCCCCACTCAGACCATCGTTCTGGGGAAGCTGGTTGTCATGCCACTAAAGCATGGGCACTTCCCTGTGGAGAGACTCCTTTACTGAGGAACTATTGCCATGTGAGTGAGTCTGGAAGTTAATACTCAAGTCTTTGCCAAGCCTTCAGATAACTGTAGCTCTGAAGTCAACATTTTGAGCTGTCTCAGAAGAGGCCTTGAGCTCAAACCACAGTTAACTCAGCCATAAACTAGATACTAAATAGTCACAGTTTGAGCTATGAAATTTTGGAATAACTGTCTATAAAACAATAGACTCACTATTTAATAAAAGTTAAATAGAAAAAGAAATAAAGATTTATATACTAGTCATAAAGTTGCTCAATATTCACAAGAAAAACTTAAGGAGCCAGGTTGAGAACGTTATTTGGCTGATTTAAACTATAACTTTCTTAGCCATAATGTGATAAAACTATCTACAGTAGAACACATACGTTCAATAACAATATTACCAAAAAGATCTTGAGAGAAGTCGACCCCTGGTCTCTTTCCCCACTATTGAAAATGGAGTGGCTGTAGAACTGAAGAAATCGAAGTCACGGCACCCACTTACTTTTTCATGATCTGGATTTCATGGCACCATCGTTCTCTGTTTTTGGTACTTAACTCTAGGCGACAAGACTTAATTGCGATTTTGATATCAAGTTCCTGTCAAAATAGAAAAATCGATAGAAAATATGAGTAAATTAGGTTCTTGTACAGATTTACAAGATTTACAATCAAAGAAATATCAACCCAGGAAAATAACACTCCTTTTAACTTTACTAATTAAACATATGATCCACAGCTCTCTTTAGCCACCATTAGTTACATGAACCATAATACTATTAAATCAATGATTTAAAGCTATCAAATACACCATAGTATATAAGCAAAAACTGACTGCGGCAGACCCTCCAACAGGTCTCTTCAGAAGATTATATACTTTTAATGATTTAGAACTACTGCTAGACCAAACATACTACTAGAAATATACAACGATTCCATTTCTCCAAGATCTCCTTCTCCACGCTTAGTCAAGACAAGAAACAAAGACCCCAAACTCTAGTATAAATAGAAAGAAGAAAATAATTCAGAGCCCCCTAACCTTAAAAAAGCAAGAAATAGTTTTCATATTTCCAGTCTAATGCAAAACCTCCAAAACTAGGTCCTAACCTCTGCATTTCAAACGACATGGGAAAACATCCAAGAACTGTACTTCTGTTCGAATACCTATAAACAAACCTAAGACCTCTTGCCTGTGACTAGTCATTTCACCAATCTGCCCGAAAATAAAACTATCCTGTGTACATTTCAGAAAACAGCCAGCCTGTATCATATTCTAATACAGTTAGAACCAAACAGGCTATACTGCGTTAAGAGCTCAAAAGAGCTTCACAGGTGTGACATTTCTGACACCAGCCAAAGGTGTGGTAAAAGCTGTATGAGTGGTGAGAGCAGCTTCCAGGGGCTGAAAGGGGAAGTGGGGAGCAAGGCTTAGCTTAGCTAGGAGAATAGGAATTAGGAACCAGGAGGAGAAAGAAGGCTGAAGGCAAGGCAGTTTCCAGTGCAGGGGTTGGGGGCTGATGGAGACGAAGAGCTAGCTTTACCACAGTGCTCACTCACTCCAGCTTTCATTATAAGATCTGAGAGCAGTTACAACCTATATCAAAGTCTGACACCATGGAGACTCCAGCACAGCCAAGACAATCAGCCCCAATTTCTAACAGGAATAAGACAGAAAGTCATCTACTCTATATAGGTCCCAACCATGAGAGACCCTTCAACGCCTTGGTTTATATTCCACCTACTCCGTGAAACTCAATCTTCTCACAGAGAATATTCTCTGGGGAAGTTTGCAGTTGCCTAACAACAACAAAAAGACCTGTTTTTTAAAAATGAAACTAAGTTGAGTGTGGTAATATGAATCTATAGTCCCCACTATTTGGAAGACTAGGGCAGGAAGAAAGTTTGAAAACACTAAGTTAATTTCTTTACTTTTTGGAGCGTTTAAATTGGGTTCCTAATTTGCATTATGATTCTCCAAAGGACTAGTATATGCAGTGTTTACCCAATGTATCTGAACATTGTGAAGTTGCTCCTCGGTATGCAGATGACAGCATCTAGGACTTCCAGAGGATGCTGAAATCTGTAGATGCCCAAGTTCATTACATCAAATAGCACAGTATTTACATATAACTTACATACATCCTCTCTGTCTGTATATATGTTTAGTAAATGCATTCCCTGTGATCCCAAGTCCTACCTGATCAGATTATGTTCAGTGTATGGCAGGCTGAATATACAGTACTGAGGACAGAACCCAGGGCCTTGGGCATATACTTTACCACTGAGTTACATCTCCATCCCATACACACTTTTTTTTAAGAAAGGGTCTCTCTGTGGCCCATGGTGGCTTTAAACTGAAGGCAATCCTCCTATCTCAGTCTCCCAAGTGTTCCTACCATGCCTGGCTTCTACATTCTTTCTTTAATGTATTCCATGGAACTAAGTTTCTCAAACACCCTTGAAGAAGTTCTACCCTATCCCCTAGGGAAAGTTCTCCGGCTAATCACATTGCCAGTACTTTCAGGGTCTAGGGTCTTACACTGAACTTATGTTTATTTGTGAGACAGTCTTTTCCTACATAACTCAGGCTGGCCTTGACCACAACATGAAACCCACTCAGGCTGGACTCAAGTTCAAAACCCTCTTGCCCCGGACCCTAGGTGCTGGGATTACATTTGTAAGCTACCAAGACCATCTGTGCTTTGTTCTATGTCCATCCCTCCCTGAAAATGGACATTTCCTTCAGGGTAGAAAATACTGTTTTTGTTGATTTGGGCACCATCAGTGCCCAATACAGAAACCAGCTAAATCATTTCACGGCTTTTCTCCTGTCCTGAGAGGGACGCATGAAATACTGGAGCATCACTTCTACAAATGAGCTTTCTGAAAGCAGCAGTAAATACACCCGGAAGATGTTACTAAAACGCCTGTACTAGGCTTACTGTCTTTCTAATTAAACTTATTCCTCACATACGGTTTTCCAGAACACCATTTTCTCTTACAGTTCCTTTTTTTAAGTTCACTTAGTGAGTGATAACTACAACAACGCAACCACAGGACAGTGGAGAGCTATTTCAGGACAATTACAGTACTTACTCTAGCACTTACTAAAGATCTCTATTACTATCTCACTTAACCCTCAAACAGACCCAGGATGTATATACATTCTTCCACATATTTTACAGACAACAAATCCTATACTTCAATGATTAGTGTTCAAAAATCTGTATGTTACAACATTCTTCAGGAAAGCAAAAACCCTCAATGGTAATGCACTGCTTTGTGTGGGTATTAATTTTCTGGGGAAAAGATCCATAGTTTTTATTGTATTATCAAGAGACTCATGACTGAAACATGATTACCTGGGGCTGGGGATGTAACCCAGTGGTAGACCATTTGCCTAGCATGTCAAGGCCCTGTGTTCCACCCCGACCATCAACAACATTAAAATAAGCAAGGTGACTGTTAGTTTTAAAAATCTTGTAAAAGTATGAGTAACTGCTGTAGCAATAGTTAAATGTTTTTAATTAAATCAAAGCAAATTTCCCGAGCCTGATGTTAGCTGTCTTTTACAGAACAAACCCCATAGTCTATTCCCTTCCCTTTGAAGCAAGGATCGTTTTCACTACCTTACCCTCACACTGTTCCTTGACTGGAATGCTCCAATTCCAAAGTCGGTCAGTGTTTCCAAAGGTTCAACTCTGGACACCAGGAAGGACCTTCCTGGTTTATTCAAGCGTGCGCGTACACACACGCACACAGAGACACTGGACATTCATACATACATCACACACACAGAGACACTGGACATTCATACATACATCACACACACAGAGACACTGGACATTCATACATACATCACACACACACACACACACACACACACACACACACACACACACACACAAACACACTCCTTGCCACCCGACACAGCTGCAACAGCTTCCTCTCTCTCTCTCTCCCTCTCCCTCTCCCTCTCCCTCTCTCTCTCTCTCACTCACACACACACACACACACACACACACACACACACACACACACACACACACACACTCTCACACACTCATACATACTCCTCACCACCCGACACAGCTGCAACAGCTTCACCTCACTCACTGTCCAGGGACCTCAGACACCCCTGCACTGGGCCACCAGGCTCACACGCACAGGATCTCACCGGCCCCTAGCACTGCCCAAGGTCTTCCCGACCACCTCTCCCACCTTGACTGACAGCCGGGGTTCCAGGGACGCCCAGACAGCTCCAGCGCCACTGCTCCCGCCCCCCGCCTCACCCGGTGCTGGTACAGACAGACGTTCCCGAAGCCGCCGGTGCCAAGCCGCTCCCGCATCTCCCAGGGGCCGCCCGCGCCCGGCCGCAGCCCCGGGGGCCGCTCCATGGGGCGGGAGGGCCAGCCGCCTCCGGTTTCGCCGCCGGTCCAAGGCCGGTTCCGGGCCGCCGAGGCTAGCGCGTCCTTCTCCTCGCGAGACCTCCGCGTCACTTCCGATAGCTTCCGCAGGAAAAGTCCCGCCCCGACCTTCTCCTGATTCAGTTCTGGCGCTACACCAGGCTGAAGCCGGCGATGCTAATAACCCAAAAGTGTAACGCTCGGCATAGAATCAATTTCTCAGTGTCTGTATGCAAGCCGATGTTGTGGGTCACTGGTAATGAGTGGTATTCGATTCGTTGGTTCTATTTTCATGTATTCCATGGAACTGGAAGGTCAGGCTTGATGGTAATAGCAAATGAGACTGAGCACACATCCCTTCTGGGATTGGTGCTGGCGAATGGGCTGGGCACCAGCGGGTTGCACTGTGCTCTTTTAAGTACCCCGGGCATCATCCAGGCTCAGAGGACCTTCGTGTGCGGGATTTTTATGTTTTGTATACGTATTTAAATGAGCTTTGAGGGTTTCATACGTGTTTTTATTTTAAAATAGATCTCTCCAAACCCTAAACTTTCTATTTGTCCCTACTTCGTCCACATTTCATCTTTTTCAGAGCCCTGCCCTCTGCCTCTCCAACCCTATCACCTATTGATAAAGGCCACTGTAAACATGGAAGAAAACTGCGCTAACCGGCCGGTTCATTCATTGGCCTTCGAAGTGCACTATGGTCTCCTGCCCATCTGTTCAGAATCTCTCCTATAATCCCAACCACCCAAGGATGTGATGTTATTCCAGAGTGAAAACTCTTCTCCTGGACTTGTGAGTTTCCCTTTGGACCTCGCGGATCTTGATGCTTCTCAGCCTTGCTGTTTCAGATTTGCCGAAGCAGTGGTTCTGGGTTGGAATTGTTACTGAGGTGCTCTACAGGGCTGCAAAGACAAGCTTGGGGTGGTCTTGGTTCAATAAGGCATACTTCTGAGTAGTGCATTGCTGATATTTGAGTGATTATCTGCTTCATGGAACCTAGGTGTTTTAAGACAGGGTCTGATATAGTCCAGGCTGGCCTAGAACTTGCTATTCCTCCATCTGATTCAGGCTTATAGCACTTTATCAGGCTGAAGCTAGGGATGCTAATAACTCAAGTGTAAGCCTCTGCATAGAATCAAATTCTTGATGTCTGTATGCAAGTCAGTGTTGTGGGTCACTGATAATGGGTGGTATTCGATTAGCTGGTTCTATTATTTTCATGGATTCCATGGAATTGGAATAGCAGATTTGATGGTAATAGCAAACGAGCCCCTGAGAACACATCCCTTAGAGCAGAGCAGGCTGCCATGTGTCAGTATGAAACCTCATTTGCTGTGTATGACAGCTACAAGTACTAGGAGTGTCCAGTTTTCACAGGTGGGATGTAATTTCATAATTCACACTCAGAAGCATGAGAGATATTAAAAACTACAGCCAGGATAATGTTGACTGGGCAATCCAAGTTGGTTCCTACAGTTAATTCACTTTTTAAATATTCTATTCTTAAAACACAACTCAAGGTTTGTTATTTTATTTTTGTTTTTTGAGACAGGGTCTCTATAGCCCTCACTGACTTGGAAGTTACTATGTAGACCAGACCTCAAACTCACAGAGATCTGACTGCTGAATGCTAGGATTAAAGGCTTGACCTTTTATCTGTAGAATGGTTTATCCCAGGCTCCATAATCATCAGGTTTCCAAGACTGTTTTTTGTTTTTATATGCAAAATGGAGGTCAAGAGATTTTTGTGAGAATTAAGTGAAAATGTATCTGGGCCTTAAGTGGCCAATAAATAAGAACAATTATTCTCTTCTGGCTTCTGATACGCAGCATTCTCCTGTGGTCACACTGCACCTGCTCCATGGACTTACTGGTCACTGGATCACTGTTTCCTTAAATCTTAGTCATCTTTATTGGGACTAACTGTACTTGCCCTATCTTATTTTGTAATTTCACTATGGTCTATACCCTGATGAACTCTAGAGCCCTATCACCAACCTAGATCTGCATGAGTTTGAGAATTATCTAAGAGCACTCTGGATACATCTGTTAGATAAGTCAGCTGTCTTAAACATCTAAAATGCATTCACAGCTCCATCACCAATCCTGATCTGCATGAGTTTTAGAAGTACCTAATGGCAATCTGGACATATCTACTGGATAACTCAGGTTTCTTAAACATCAAAAACAAGACATTCAAAAAAAACCTCATTTTCTTAAATCTGCCACTTCCTTCCCCAATTACACTATAAACTCTGTACAATAGGTGCCATGTTGGGGCACTCACTGGCTATACTCTTGGAACTTAGAAAACTTTCTAGCATATCAGAGTTAAATATCTGAAAGATGGAATGGACTTTTATGTGAACAAGACGATGGATGCTGTGAGAAAATAACAGCCAAGGCCATGCATTTCCCTTCCCCAGACTGAGCTGCCTGTGTTATTCTGGGATAACTGCTAGGCATAAACTCTGGTCTCTATTACACACACACACATAATTTCATTTCAGTGGTGATAAACAACATAAGACATTTGCTACCCTTAGAAAAGCATTCCTTTTTATCATTTACAAGATTTGGGGAAGGTTATTTTTGCTTTTGGAGGTAGGGGTTGAGATGGGTCTATGGTAATATTTTATTTGTGCAACCCAATAAAGTTTATCTGAGGATCAGAGGAAGAAGCCAGCCACTATATTAAACATAGAAGTCAGGCAAATGGTAGCACACGCCTTTAATCCTATCGCCCGGGATCTGTTTGGATCTCTGTGAGTTCACGGCCACACTGGGGAACAGAGCCAGGCATGGTGGCACATACCTTAAATTCCAACACTAGTTAACCATGGAGGTCTGTACAGACAGATAGGAAGTGACAGCTGAGCAGGAAGAGGAAGTGATGTAGCTGGACAGAGAGCAAATGAGAGAGCAGAACAGAAAGGCATATAGGCATGGGTATACAGGAAGTAGGTCTCTTTTGGAGACTGAGGTGTTGGTGAGGTGAGGTTAGCTTGTGGCTTTTCCTATTCCTCTGATCTCTCAGATTTTCACCCCTATTATCTGGCTCCAGGTTTTTATTTAATAAGACCATTTAGCAAATTCGTCTGCATGGGTCTCACATCATAGCCCAGACTGGCCTGGAACTCACTATGTAGACCAGACTGGCCTTGAATTCACAGCAATCTTCCTGCCACAACTCCTCAATTTCTGAGATTACAAGCATGAGCGACTACACCCAACCTCAAAGGTTCAAAGAGTTGTGAAGATATGAACAAACACAGCTGTTCTTAGAAATATGTAGCAGACATTCTTTTAACATACAGTTGCGTCTCAGAACGACTTTTCCTAGGCCTCTTGCTGCAAGCAGGTTCCATGGGAATATCTGGAAAAGAGGCAGGGAGGCAGCCCCCACGGGAGACTGCAGTTTCATTGTAAAAACAGGCTCTAACAATTTCCTGTGACGTCCACACAGTGCCTTCCCTTTGCCTAGTCATCCAACGTGAAGTCAAAAGGCTCAAAGTCTTTGCGGAAGCGGCGAGCCAGGGTCTCCTCCTCTTCCTTACTGACTTGGCATTGCCTCCAGTCAGCCTTGTCAGGAATATTGAGGATGGCTTCACTGGCCAGCACCTCCCTGCAAAGAGCACAAAGAAGAGAAAATTGGAGTAGCAACTGAAACACACCATTCCTTTGTTCCTCTGCAGCCAGCTCTCCTCGGTCGCATCTGAAGAGTATGCAGATTTCTTACTGCTCATGCTGGTCTCTGGCCCTGACTGACATCTCTGCTGTCCTATCTACTGAAATCACTGCCATATTAAGTGACCTCTCCCACCCCATTTATTTCTCCTTCCCGGGAACAACTCGGAACCACGATATAAGTACTTAGGGAAAGAATACCACATACAAACTAGACGACAGGCCCTGGTGTCAGAAAAATCAGAAACTGAATTTCATTCCAAGCTCTGTGACTTGATGTCTATGACTTGAATACTACTGCCTCTCTTATTCTTGATTTAAGGCTCACTTACAAGAGCACCTTCCTTATAGGATTTGGTACAGTACAGAAGCCATACAACCAAAGCACATTCTCAGAAGCTATTATATCTTTTCTTAAACTATAGCTTTGACAGTCTGACTAGACAGTGAGTTTGCTGAGGACATGGTTCAGTCACGTCAGACCATTCTGACTTAAAATTCCTCTACCTGTCCTTCTAGGCGACTCTCATTTGTATGAGTGCACCAACAGAAGTTCAATGTGAAGAAACAATTTATACAGATACATATACATGCAGCTTCTAATTTCTAATGGTTTATATTAATACTTTTAATTTATTAGAAACAATTCTATATGGCTCATCTCAACTTTGAAAGTACAATAAATAAAAAGGTGAATCACAGTGGTCCTCTGAAAGTCAAAGGATCAAAGCTCAAATTTTGATTTGCCTGGAAACCTTGAACATGTTTCTTCATATGTAAAATGAAGATATAACCATTTTCCCTATTAAGTATAAAAGGTATCAATTGTATATTACAGTGTTGAAAACATAAACAACTACCATTATCACAAACCATTTTGGGTACTATACATGGCTGTGTGTATTGGCATCATATGCTTATGTCCCTACTGTGCCTATCTACATCTGTTGCTAAGGCAACAAGATTAAACCAGATATTTGGAGCATTTAACATACTTGTTCTCATTTATCCTCTATTTGGAAATAAAAAAGACTCTTATTTGCTGGACTTATCCAATGGGGCGAGGCTTTCCAAATCCATCTAGGAATGGCTAAAGGCTCACTCAAACCATTGGGAGTGGTTGGAGAAGAGCTGCAAATCAGAGATCAGCATCAGATCACTCACTGTGTGCATTTTCTACTTCCCTCCATACAGGCTTTCAGAACAATGCAGAATAACAAGGTTATTCTCATCCTGGTGTTCACCAGACTAAGGTTTGAACCTTCAACTGTGTGACCATGGCATGCTACTTAACTCATCTTAAGGTGCAATATCCAAGAGTAGCCACTAGCCAGATGTGGCTATTTAAATTTAAGCTCTAATTAATTAAATCAAATTAAAAATTC